CTGTACATGTACCACCTTGCCACCGGAGGATACCCTCCTGTACATGTACCACCTTGCCACCGGAGGATACCCTCCTGTACATGTACCACCTTGCCACCGGAGGATACCCTCCTGTACATGTACCACCTTGCCACCAGAGGATACCCTCCTGTACATGTACCACCTTGCCACCGGAGGATACCCTCCTGTACATGTACCACCTTGCCACCGGAGGATACCCTCCTGTACATGTACCACCTTGCCACCGGAGGATACCCTCCTGTACATGTACCACCTTGCCACCGGAGGATACCCTCCTGTACATGTACCACCTTGCCACCGGAGGATACCCTCCTGTACATGTCCCACCTTAAGCTTGCCACCAGAGGATACCCTCCTGTACCACCTTGCCACCCGAGAGTACCCTCCTGTACCACCCTGCCACCGGAGAGTACCCTCCTGTACCACCCTGCCACCGGAGAGTACCCTCCTGTACCACCCTGCCACCAGATAGTACCCTCTTGTACCACCCTGCCACCGGAGAGTATCCTCCTGTACATGTACCACCTTGCCACCGGAGGGTACCCTCCTGTACCACCCTGCCACCGGAGAGTACCCTCCTGAATAGGGTTGTTAATTTCCTTAGATAGAAATTTTATCTCAACTAAACCTAATTAGAAACTAATTAGGTTTAGTTGAGAAGTTTAGAAATCTCAGCTAAGGTCTTGGCTGCTTTCAGGCGGAAGGGTCGCTGAAACTTAGGAATTAGAATCCCCATTTGCTGCATATTAAGGATCATTCAATAATTTTGCGCTGCGTTGAGTGTGCACAGCGAAAGGTGCTCAGTGGGCACACGGGGCAAGGGACCCACGGGACACCACCGCCTGCAAGACACCGCACGCCCATGGAAACGAGCATTAATCAACGCTAGTCTGCCCTCCGAATCCCCAATGCAACTGCACTGCTACCGCCACTTGGTGGCAATGGCAGATGAGGACTCTAGCAACGAACCACGCCCTGATTGGTGTTTGTTGCAGATGAGCAGCACCAACCAAATTGCAGCCAGCTACTCAGCACATGCTGACGTGCACGTCAGCAGCCCCAGGCCACCTACCTACATAGCGCCTACATAGCAAGTAGCAAGCCCCTAAACGCTCCAAAGAACACAGCGATTGGCAAACTGCCGAACTGCACACCATGATACCAGGCACCACATGCCAGTCGGTGTACCCCGCTGCCCATTACGTAATGGGCAGGTATACCTTCCCCCGGGGAAGGTATACCTTCCCCCGCGAAACTGCATACGCGTGCTGAAAAGCCAGTGCATGAAACACCTGGAAGCGTAGCAAACAACACGGACCACGTCTAACATTTTAGCGGACCAAGCCCTGACAAGCTAACAACACCGTCACACACCGCAGACCCGAGAACTGTGAGGCCTGAGTGCGCAGGGTGGGGCAAAACGTGCAGGCCAGCTTCACTGCGTTGTTTACCAGCACAACGTTGAAGAAAGCCCACCAGGAAGCATGGCTAT